GATTTTGTCATTGTAAGTGTGCGTCTGCTGCCTCTCTCTGGCCGCCTGTGTCCACAGTAATCTTATTGACTCCTGTTAGCGCGGCTCTGCCCCTGATATCTCCAGCTCTGCTCTCCATAACCTTATAAGTAAGTCCCTGCACAGAGTCTCTTTTGTAATCTTGATCACTCGCTGCATGGATGTGTGCGTGTGGGCAGTGGTCTCCCCGGGTTGACACGCACCCACCCTTTCTCCTCCCCACCTCTCGTTCCAGTCAGGCTTTGGGTTACCATAGCAACGGTTCCCTTTCCACATGCCACAGAGTGGTAGATCATGCATCAGAAGGGATCTACCACTCTGGGAAAGCAGGGCAGAGAAGCCGTTTCTTCATACGCACCCTAAACTTTTCACGACGTTATCGAGCAGACGCGTACGTTCGGTGGACGGTAAACAATCTTTAATGCATCAGTTCTCGAATAGCTTGTCCGTGTGTGCCGATGTGAGAGCAGAGCAGGCGGCTCTGTTTGAAACCTCATCACAAACGGCTGGTTGCTGTGTGTCAGCCTGCTTTAAACTTGCCTCGATAACAGACTGTGCATAAAAGATGAACAAAGTCACTGGCCTTGTGTCACGGATAAATACAACAAAATAAAATGATACGACCGAGACAAAAACGGTGCTATTTTGTAAATAATAAACATGAATTCGCTGTGTAATTGTGTAACTTTATTAGCAGCATCCTCCTGAAATGCGCCAACAACATTGAGAGTAACATCCTCCTCTCTGCCCCTTAATGCTCTCTGGTTGCTATGGTAACGTGTAAATATTTCTTTCAAAATAAGACACACAACTACAACACGGGAAAGACCCAGGGAAACAGAGTTAACGATAAAAACCCTGAAAACCATAAATTTCACACCCGAGCCTCAACTCGCGCGGCCCGGAACCAAACAACTCGAGGACCGGCACCGGTCCGTGGCCCGGGGGTTGGGGACTACTGACCTAGATGGCAGGTTTGGCTAGCAAGCTGCTTCCATAAACAACAAACAAACACTGATATCTACTAATTAGTTTTAAGTAACACACGAACAAAGTAGAACTCAAAGTTCTTAGTCTGGTGGTAACACTGTAAGACTCATTATTTGCTAATTATCGCCGAAAAGGCACAAACACAGCAAATTCAGTGGGCTGGATTAGCTGAGGTGACACCTGGTGCAAACTTTAAGCTTAAATAAGAATTAAATTGTATGTTATTAAAAACAACATAAGCATAAATGTGATATACAAACCAAAACAGCTGTTTGTATCAGACTGTAAATCGGGACATTTTAACATGGAGATCCAAGGGGACTGACATGTTATTGGGAGTGAGCCTCTAGTGGCCATGTGCGGAACTGCATCTGCTTTATCTTTCATCACTGGCTAATGCAGCTGAGCCCAAACCAGTAGGCAACGTCCAGATTCAGTCTTGTCTAGATTTCATGAGTGAAAACAGTGAGAGAGAGAAATGTTTGACATGGGCTCTCACACCTCAGCAACAGCAGTTTATCCTAGACGCACACATCTGCACACACATATGTAAGCTCCTCTTACATATGTGACCTCTACATTCACCTCCTCGCTCTGCTGACTGTTTGAATTTCTTTCTTCCATCCTCACTTGTTGATTTTTTCCCCTCTGTGCATCGATCTGCCATTCTATGTATAGTGGTGACTCATATCTCCAACCGAGCACGCACGCCGACGCCGCAGGTAAAAAACCTGGGACATATGCTGTGGATATGAGGTGACAAACTAAGCTGAGAAAGACCAGGCAGCACTCCCAAAGCCCGTCCCCGCTCGCTGAGATCGAGCATTACATTTTACAAGCTTGGAGAAAGGCAGAGGAAAAAAAGCTCTGTGTGGTTGGAAGCAGAAAACAAGAGAAAGAAATGTATGAACAGACAAGAAAAGGTGTCTGTCTGCATTTCTATCTCTTTTTTCCTGGAGAGAAAATATCCTCTAGTCTGTCTTTTTCCGATGTCTGGTCAGCTGCTCTGCCTTTTCTGTCTGCTTCCTACGTCTTCGCCCGCCGCCTGTCTCCCTGCCTGCCTGTTTTCCAGGACGAGCGAGAGCCCTCAGCCTCCCTCCCCTCTCATGTGCCGTAAACGCATTCAACCTCCTCTGCTCTCCTGTTAAATGAGTTCCACATGGCCCTGCAGGCTGCAGTCTCCACGCGGCCAGCAGAGGCACCAAAACACACAAACACTCACTGAATTGACACACACACACGTGGAGTGCAAAGGGTCAAAGGTTACTCCCAGCAGACCTTGAGAATGCAACCGTTTGAACGTGGCCTCTCGCTCAGTCAAAACGTCTCCCACCCCCGCCTCCCGCCTCTCCCCCGGCCTGGCTGCTGTGTGTTAAAGTCTGAGGGCAGGATGCATACTAATGGTGTCTGACTGACTGGCTGACTGACGGACTGGATTGCTGGTGGGCTGAAGTTGCTGGCAGTTTAACTGGATGTCTAACTGGCTTGTCTATCTGACGCTACAGCCGAGTGTTTAAGTGGTTGGCTGACTGACATCTGCTATAACTTGCAGGGGTGGGAGATTAAAATAAATAAAAGCAACACTCGATTACTCGGACTTGAAAAAAAGCAGCCCTTTAAACACAACTACAAACAGGCGTTATCAGGCTGAAACCTAATCAGCACCTGTGATTTTCAAATGTTTCCTCTACGCCTATTTTGATCTTCAGTATGCGCAACGATAGGCTTCTTAGAACTCTTTTAGTCTCGTTTTAGCTTTGAGGGATATTACATCAATTTTATACTTGAAGCAGAGTTTACTTGACATGAGGAGCTCTTCTCATCCTGAGAATGCTGTTGTAAAGTATCTTCTGTGGCTCTGGAGAGAGAGAGCACTTCAAAGCATGAGAAAGTAACCCTGATTATGTCATCGGCGTTCTCTCGGTTTAGGGCAAAAGACCACACATTTTAGAACGGACATGTGCTAGAAAACACGGGAACAGGCCTGGAAGAGAACTGCATGTACCAGGCAGGGAGGGTCCGACGTTATTCAAGTATTATTATTGTTTATTATTGATCTCTTCACACTCCCTGAGCCTGGTTCTGTTGGAGGTTTCTTCCTGTTAAAAGGGAGTTTTTCGTCCCCCTTGTTGCCAAGTTCTTGCTCACAGCGACTCGTCTGATTGTTGGTGTTTTCTCTGTATCATCGGAGGGTCTTTACCATATAATGTAAATCGATTTGAGGCGACAGGTGCTATATAAATAAACAACACTGAATTGAATGAACCAGTGTAAGCTGCATACATTATTGAGGATTTTGAATCCTGTGCCTTAATTCCTGTTTCATGAAGTCTTTCATTATTTTGTCTACACCTCATATGAGGCGTAATGAAAAAGTTCAGCAAACCTGTCACAAATAAAAGCTTTTTTTGGCCAGTTCAACAAAACTGTTGCTCAACATCAGAGATTTTGGAAGTTCATATTTGAGTTTGACACAGAGGAGCAGATCCAGTAGTACGGAGAGCAGGACGTCTTAAAACAGCACAGGAGTGGAGATGGTCTTGAAGGGCAGGATGGCCACTTTTGAACCAAAGTTGCTGAACGTTTTAGATTTTTTAAATCACACCTACACGGCGCTGGAAGACGTATTTAGACTTGAGTAAAAGCATCAACGCTGCAGTGCAAAAAGACCCGACAAGACAGGTGGAACCTTTCTTTTACTGAAGTACCTGGTTTGAATAAGTACACATGCATACATAATCATCACGGTCTAGTTTTTACTCGGCTCCATATATTTTATATCACGCGCTTTTCTAGATTTTTCTTCCACATCAAACATAAATACTGATAATAATGAAGTTTTGCAAACTGATCGCAGAGCAGAGTGATGATTGATTTTCTATGTATTATAACATACTGACTTAGTGCAGGTTTGCTACTTTTATTTACATCTTCAGCTAATTTTAATATTGCAGCCGGCTGTTTTGAAGATAATTATAAGAATTTTACACAACATCAGGTCGTTAATTAACTTTGGGCAGCATTTCACTTGTTAGTTATGATTTAAGCCTAAAAGGCAAATTAACTCAGCTGATAAAAAATGTCGTAAATATTTTTTTTTCTTGAATTCCTCCAAATTGTACTTAACTTTCACCTCTGCTACTGCGGCAACAGTGCGCTTCCTGTAACGGCTTATCATTTACTAGAACAGCAAACCTATGGAGAAATGTACAAGCATATGAGTTCCCACCACTTGGCGGGATTTGCAGTCCTGCTGGAATTGCTGGTAATCATTTGTCAATAGATATCTGTCAACAGACATAAAGCCGATGCTTGTTTGAAGCGATTGTGATGCACCGGTTTGCCTGCGATGAATCATTTACAAGCTGGTCAATTTTTCTATTGACTTGGATACACCCTTCATTTGCAGCTGACAGGTTAATAACGGCCCAGAGCTGGTTCCAAATGAGTTAGCTCCAGAAATGATAGAACTTTGAGTTTAAAAAGAGCACTTAGACCGAGCAGAAGCTTTATAATTTAGAGCTACTGAATAATGAACCTCGTGGAGGTGGGGTGATAGGTTGCGTCGAGCACTCGGCTCCCAGCCATTGTCCTTGCATTCTTCCACGTCGAGCGGGGAGAGGCACATTTCAGGACACATCACCTCAGAGCGGAGCAGCTCTGAAAGCTCTGGGAATGGGAGATGGAAGTAATAACTGAGGGCACTAACAGCCCCAAACTCGCTCGCTCTGGCACCCGACCACCCCCACCCCGACTCTTCCCTCGTCTTTGCCTCTGGCTGTCTCTCACAGCTTTCCCGTCCCTGCTGCCTCTGACGCTCCCACCTGTCCATTCCTGCACTCGCTCCTTTCAGACACACATTAAAAAAGGAAAATTAAAAAAAAGAAATGACTTTTTTCTCCTGTGTCTCCTCCTGACATGCGCACTCCCAAATCAGCTTTCCACCCGTCCATCCGTCCAGCTGTTCAGACGCATCACTCAGACTCTCTGTGTGTGTCCAGAGGGAGTCCAGGTTTTCAGACACTCTCTCCAAGCCCGGCTCCTTGACCATTACTACTCCATTATCAGCGGCGATGGAGGGCGCGCCGCAGACGCCTAATGTATCCATTTCCTCCTCCATTTAGGGCTCTGCAGCCCAGCGAGCTCCTGGAGTGCTCCCTGATTGGGATTGAATGTCCATTTAAACGGCCATCCAACCACCGGGGAAGGGTGGGGGGTGTTCAGCAGGGAGGGGAGGCAAGGAATAATGGGAAATGGGGGGTGGGGGGTGCACAAGAGTAAAAATAAAGTGAGACTGTACATATGTTGCACTAGATGAGCAAAGGAGGCAAGGGGATTGCTCCCCAGCCTCTGATTTGAAGCTCAGATTTTCTTCCTTTCTTTCTCTCCCTGCCTTGCTCGCCGTGTCTCGATCACTCCCCCCCCCCCTTTTATAATTTTTTTTTCTCCACAAACTTAGAAAACACTTGGTGCTGAGCCAAGTGTCAGAACTCAGCACTCAGTATTCTCAAGGTGCGCTTCTAAAAAGAGGGATTTGGAATTGAGATGATTGGAGTTGGCACATCCGTAGAGGGTGGAGGGAGAGAGGAGGAGGAGAGAGGAAGCGGGTGAGACAGAGAGAAAGAAAGAAACAGGCGGGAGATCACACACACACACACACACACACACACACACAACCACACACACACACACACACACACACACACACACACACAACACACACACGCACACACGCACACACACACACACACACACACACTCGGAGGTGAAACAGTACCTTGTAGGAGTACTCCTCCGTTCTTTCTGAAGAGGGGACTCCCCGACCACAACGGAGGACTAGAAAGGAGAGAGGAGAGAAAACTGGTCAATCATTTGATCGCGTCGCAGCAGCCAACCAGCCCAGCCGGCTTCATCACGAGGCGGATAGCAAGGCAGGAATTTGAGCCCATAAGCCAGTGCTTCTGATTATAGTGATTAGATTCCAGGGTGTCCCACTGTTGCCATTATTCCCTGTGATTACCTCGGAGAATTACAGCCTCGACGCTGTAGTCCATGGGGGTAATTTCTCATGACAGCCCCCCACCGCCCGCCACTCGTCCATTCACACACATTAAAAAAAAAAAAGAAAAAAGAAAGAAAGAAAGAAATCATCAGCTCGCAAACACTTAACACACACTCATGCCAGACAGCCATGTTTAAGACCGATCTGTATACGGCGCGCGCGACACATTAAAACACACACACAGGAAAACACAAAGCCAGCGACTCGGTTTAGGTGATCATTGCACCACTAATGAGGGAGGTAATGACGGCATTTCTCACATAGACGGAGATATCTCCACTCACACATACACACAAAAGGGATGCTGCTGGATCTGTAATTTAAAGACAGAGCGTGGGGGGGGGGGCTTTTCCAGGTTGAGTGGTCTTTAGCTCCCAGTCAGACGAGCCGTCTCTCAAACACAGTCAACACTGGTATCACACACACACACAGACAGGGCACAGAAAACACCTGGGGAACGCCGTGCACTTGCTTCCACTCATTTGGAGAGTTTCCTTTGTAGCACGAGTTGTGTTTTTATGTTGCTGAATGAGAGGATTCACGTCTGCACTCGTGAAGCGGTTCTCACCTCGCCAGATGCCGGGGAAAGATGGACGCACACACGCAGATATTTACTGTTCACACACGCATACAAAAGCAGCAAATTTCAGCCCCTGAGCCACCTGCTGTTGCCATGGAGAGTTGCCACATTGCGTTGCCACGGCGATAACATATTTTTCCTGTGCTAACAGCCTGTCTGTTTTCCCTAGCCCCCCCACTCCCGCCCGTCTCACCCCCATCTCTCTCTCCCTCTCTCTATCTGTCTCTCCCCTCTTCCCCGCCTCACCTCTCTCTCTCCCTCTCTCTCTCAACAAATGGGTTTGCAGCGCGACAGCACCTGACTTATACTACATGTGTTGCCATGGCGGCGTTCCCGTTGCCAAGACGACCCCTGTGCATTTAATGCGGTGGGCGAGGGGCTAAACTCGCCGCTCCCCTCCTTCAACATCCCCTCACTTGGGAGAAAAGGGAGGAGAGAGAACTGGAGGTAGAGACCCCCTCCTCCTCCTTCCATCCAGATGCTGATGGGGTGTGAAGGAATGCACCATAGAGCTGACCTCCTACCCAGCGTGCTCTGTCTCACACCCACACACACACACACACACACACACACACACACACACACACACACACACACACACACACACACACACACACGCACCCATATTCTGGCGCACACAGCACGTGGGGGCTGGCTGCTGTGGTGTGAGTTATTATAGCCATGAAAAGGCGAGAGGTGCGAGCGACAAACAGCAGAGGACAAAGGAGCGTCACCGCACTCCAGCTACACCCCCCCTCCACCCCACCCCACAACCCTTCTCAGCCACTTCCTCCTATCTATCTCTATCACTCCCCGTGTTCATCTCCCACTTCTGTGCTGTATAGAGCGGCTTGAGACAGTCCTTGACCTTAACATAATAGACATGCTGTGCAACCATTCACGGTCATTACACTTCATAACATAATATTCTTGAGCGTGAGAGCTGTTGAGAGAGATATTGTGTTATATTGATTGGACTTGAGTTCCAGGATACATATAAAGGACAAAGCTAATGCCAGACATTGAAAGACGTAACGTAACGTAGCACCTTTTTCAGAGTGAAACGGTAGCGCTACACTTCTGATAAAACACACGCACAAAAAATCTAAAGTAATGTTTAATAATTCATCTTTGTGATAGAAGATGAGGGTGAAACTGCAATCCAACGTAAAGGCACACGATCTGCATCTGCAAGTAAAGCTCGCTTTGTTTTAATGCGAAACGAGTGAGAAACACTGACAGATCCATCGCCATAACAACCACTGACTCTGTGCATATAGTGAAGAATGGCTTATTTAGTTCAAAGCCCTTGTTGATTCGTAACTTCACCCTGAGTTGCCTGTTTTTTCATGAAATTGGTATCCAAGGTCAAAAACACTAAAAAGATAAGGTGTCATCTTCCTCTCTGCAAAGTGAAGTCAATATGCCTTAAACCTGTAATAAAAGGTTGTAAAACTTGTTGTTCAGTGGACCAGCTTGGTGTCTCTGCTGGGCTTAATTTGGCCCCTGAGCCTTATTTTTGATTTACAGCGTGGAAAGCTTGTAATGTAAACGTTGCTTACGGGTATGTTACATGTTGTTCCACAGAACAAGATTGTGATGTCAAGGTGATAGTGCCATCTTTTATATACAGTCTTTTTAACAAGGAAAAAAGTGCCATTTGTGACCATTTCTTTCTGTCTGCTTGTTCTTCTGCTGCTATGAACGGAAATATTAATAATTCTTGACCTCTGAACTCTTTCATTTTACACCAGGCTGTTTAAACACTAATAATAAATTCTTTCCAAAGTGCTTATATTGAGTAAAGCTTTAGTTTTTAGTCTTTATGAACTTTTTGATCCAGCAGGTCCAGAGTGGCGAGCATGCTGTGATTGTGCATTTACATTCAACTGCTGTCTAAAGCACACCAACAACTTGTCTATTATTATAACAAATATTCATGTTGTTGAATCAGAGGTCAGAACTGGAGGGAAACGTAAAAATCTCATCATTTCCTCTCACCAGTAATAAGTGAATTCTTATTAACTTCATACTGAAAACTCGGAGAATCACAATAACCTGTTGAATCGTCTCATTTATTCTTCACAACATCGCGTCCACTGTTTTCTGGTGTCTTCTTGTGCTGCAGTACCCTGATTTATATCGCTCAAATCTCTTTGAGTTTTTTCAGTAACTGTCAGAGAAAACAAAGCGCTCACAGGCATCAGCTTACATCGAAACTGGGATTAAGCAATGAAATAACTGGACATACACAGATACGGGGGGATGCTCTTCAGGTGCAGCGTCCCAGTGGACCTGCAGCTCGGCTCAAACCGAGAAACACACTCTCATCTCCTGCTGTGTGCCACGACGCAAATGAACAACTACCCCTCCACACTCCGACCTCTCCCTGCACCCCTCCGCCCTCCCGTCCATGTTCCAAATCCAGCCTCCAATTTGTTCCACTTCCACATACCTCATTGTTCAAAATGACACTTTTACATTTTACGGTGAACCAATTATTCTGTCTTACACAGTCCACTGGCTCTGCAAGCCAACCTACCCGGATCAACCGGGGAGCGGGTTGTAGGGCTGGCAGTGGCTGTGTAGTCGGAGAGAGACAGAAAAATAGAAGGAGCGGATAAATGAAACAATAATAATGAAAAATATTTAAAAAATAAAGCAACTCATAGCAGCTCTCTCTGACGTATCAGTCGGGATGGGCAAAGGAGCTGGAAACTGAGAGGATGGAGGAAGGAGGTGAGGTCAGGAGAGGAGAGAGACGTGGAGGAAACGACACAGGTGGATGCCGCCGCACTGTGGAGGGATGTGTGTGTGTTTGGGGGGAGGCTGCGAGAAGTCGGAGAATAAAGTGAATGTAGACAAAGGGGAATTTAATTGAATGATAAAGTGATGGAGAGAGAGTGAAAAGAGTGGAGAGGGAGAGAGAGGGAATAAATCACAGCAGGGATAAATAAAGAAGATGGAGTACTGGGTGCCCCACTAGTTGTAATGCATGCCTGAGGATGAGCAGGAGGGTGTGTGGGATATTAAAAGAGGAGACAAGAGAGCGAGATGAGTGGAACAGAGGCACAGTAGGAGCAGAGGAAAGGCAAAACAAGGGGGGAGGAAAGAGTGAGGTGGAGGGGGGGAGAAAAAAGGCTTTTTACCTGTGATGTGCCTGAGGGGGGAGGGAGATAGGAGGAGGGACAGAAGTGTTGTTGCATCAAAAGAGCATGCAAAAAGATTTAAGGAAAGGATGGTGCAGGTCAGGTATATAACGCCTGGAGAGAGTGGGTGTGAAGAGTAACAGATGGAGGGAGAGGATGGAGAGAGTAAGCAAGCAGACGAGAGTGCAGGCTTTATGTTATATGTGGATGCTGGCACCGAAGTCCCCATTTCATTTGCTCTTTATTTGCTTCTCGGAGATCCACTTACATCAGATAAATACTACGAGAATGAACTTATCTCTCTCCGGATAATTTACCCAGAGAACTTTCTTTTTCATTCCACGAGTAAACAGCCACGGCTCCCTCCTTAGAAAACTGTGAAACAAAAGAGCGAACCCACCGAGTGGCACGCACATTCATAAAAAGCTCCCGTTTCCAGCCTTTCATTGCAGAGTATCCACAACTTTTTTAGAAAGAGTCAAACAAAGAGAGAGGTTGAGGTGCTGTGTGGAATTAGGAAACAGAAAAACTAATAAACAGCCGACACCAAAGACTTTAGAGATTGTTAATGTTTAAGTTCAAATAGTTTATTTGCTCATCTTTTGATTGTGGCCACTGTGTGAGGTGGTTTCCATTGTTTGTGCGGCTGAAAGCTGTGCTGACTTTTCCCAAGCAATTAGCCACGGGGACAAAGACTCAGACACGGGGCACTAAACTAATCCTGTGACACAGCAAAATCGAATATTTCTAGTTGACTAAATGCATTTTATCCCTGAGTTTCATATTTTAGAGATGACTGATTTCTCCTCTGTGGTTAGTAGGGCAGGAAGTAGTACAGTAAAGCTGTTTGAGTTTAGGAAAAACAATAACAACGATTAGTGTGATTGCTACTCTAATCTCAATTATAACATAATTATTCAGAAACTTGACAAACTTAAACACTAGACGCACTTTTTGATGTCTTCAGCTGCAATAAGGAGTCAATGAATTTGAGCTGGTAGGTGCAACACTTGATTACCATCTTTTTCAGATTATAAGGCGCATTAAGCGAAACAAAACAGTCAGATAAGTCGACTCATTCTTCTTGCTTCCTCCACTTCCGTAACATTGATTCATTAATGCTGAATTCTCTGCAGCTGCTCTATTCCCACGTTGTTGCAGTATATTAATGACTAACCTCGTATTATGGATGGATTATCTCAGTTGTTCTCCTGACTGAAGTTTGGTCCGTTTACAGCATCCTGCCATGCGATTGCATTTGTCTCTAACCATCAGGAACCTTCACGTTAACTTTTATCGAGTGGAAAAAAGTTAGCGTTCATCCTCCAGCTTCACTGTGTTTATGCTATGCTAACATAGCTGTGTCGCTAGCAATCACATAGCACATCATTATATACCAGCTAGCCCAACTTCAGTAACCCTACAAACATCACTGCTGTTTAGTTTCCTGTCTTCATTTGGAAGTGGTAGCAGAGCTGTACGTTTAAATGTTTTCAGAAATCTCTCAGTCATGCTCAGAACATGCTATACCATGCGAGCTAACTTCCTGCTAACTTCTAACTCTGTTAAATGTAATAACTTCTGTTTTCATGGATGCCTGGATGTTAAACTTCATTGTTACACCTGGTAAAGCAGCAACGCTGATCATTTTGTTAAAGATGAAAGAATTTAGACCGTTTTTCACTCTCAGTGTTCGTTTGACTTTGGGACCTGAAGCAGACGGAGTTTGGGACCCAGATTACTCCGCGAGGCTCCTGACTACAGTAGCCGTAATGCTGTGCGGTGCGGCTTCGTAGCTACCAAAGTCGTACTAAAAAAACATTTGTTTTACAGATTTTTGAGCGCCGTGTAGCACATAAAATCGGTTCGATATTTTAGCTCAAATATGAACATCAGCCGATATCAGTGTTGCTCCAACATTAGGCACATTAAACCTAAAATAAGTTCCGCTGTTATCCCGTTATATTACGATCATTTGACTTATCATTTAAGCTGTTTTGTTTGGTATATTAAATATACTGTGCTTCACTACTTTAAGTAAAGGAACTCATATGTTATGGCGTAGAAAACGTAAATAATATCACAGCAGCAAAGACTGGAACAGAAATAAAGACAGAATGAAGAGAGATGCTGAAAAAAGCAGAGTTAAACACTTTAAGCATGTGCGGGACTCAGGATGACATTTCTGGAACACCGCTGAATTTCATTCATACCTAAGAGACAATTCAACACGACAAGTACATGATACCTTTGAACAGGTGGCTGCCACAAATTCTCTTGAACGTGTTCATTTCTCTAAAGTCTCTTCAGAGAGCCAAGCATGACGAGAGTCTGGCAGCATCCCCTCCCTGTCGACGGGTTTATCAATTAACCGGCCGAGATTCACTCAGTCAGTGGATAAGAGGGTCCATCTTACCTGTGGTGAAATGTCTGCGGTAGGGTGGGTGGGGAGGTGGAGGGGGTGGTCAGGCTGGGCGAGTAGGGATGGTACGGCGTCTTCTTCAGAGCCTGGATCAGGTTGTGCCTGTACTCTGGATCTATGGACCACAAAGAGCCTTTGCCTATGCTCTGCAAGACAGCAAGAAAAAACGAAGAGGAGAAAGTTGTTATTGAAGAACAATGACTGCAGCCCAAAGCTCAACTTCAGCCTTTCACAGGATTCCTATTTACCAAACCACGTGCACACACACGTATCTTCCCAAGGAAGATAAAACTCAGAGGAACGAGAAGTAAAACATCCTCAAAGCCACCTTGCTCCGCATTTTCCTGTCCGTCTTTATGGAAAAAAGAAATCATGAAGCTTCTTTCTGATGAGGACGTAGGCAAACTCTTTAACTTTCTCCATTCCAGATGGTGTGTATTTTTAGATCAAAGCGGCTCCCCCCCCTCACCTAATGAAGCTGTCGGCCCCCCAACCTGAGTGAAGCCAGCCTATAGATTATAGAGAAGGGTGCCATGAAAATAGACTGTCTCTGTCTCTCAGAGCCTTCAGCATGCTTTCATCTGCCTTGTCATCTGAATTTGGAAAAACTGGGTGGGTGGGGGTAGAGACAGAGGCAGAGATTGGGGAGGAACGCACAAAACAAAAATTTAAGGTGTCGTCCTCAACTCAGCTTATAGTGCTCTGTGATATTAAAAAAAGGTACAGGCTATGGGTGGGAAGACGACGGGACTCCGGGCCTCTGATTTTCAGTCGATATTAATTAAGGATTGAATAATCACCATATTGCTACATTAGAGGGTCAACCTCTTATCTGTAGTGGTACACAAACCACTATGCAAATCACCCCAGTTTAGGGTATTGATAAAACCTCTAATTAATATATTCAACAAAGATTTGTCTATCAAAGAAGATTTTACTAATATGTGAATATTTAAATCAGGAGGAAATGACAGGATGTCGGCTGGAGTTGGATATTTGGTTGTAGCACCCGATCAAATCTGCAGATAACACATGAAAGAAGCAGCTGCAAATAGTGGCTAATGCCTCTGCACTTAACTGGAAAAGTGTACAGAGCTCTCTTAAGTTTCAGTCTTTTTTCCCTCCTTTGTCAGAAGAGAAAGCTTTTCCTCTCAGGTTCCTGATCAGGCCTACATGTGAAACGTATGTATTTTTTACACTTCACATAATGAAAACATTTATTTGAAAAACAGGACTCAAAGGCGAGGGAGCGATGAACTAAATTTCCTGCGATGCTGTATGACCTGCTTTCCTACAGCTCTGCTCCGGTTAAACATGAGAGCAGCAGGTCACATATACACTAACCAAAAAACACCAATATCTGATGTCTTGCAGCACAGGTTCAAAACTTCACAATCTCGTCTGATATCCAACTTTATCCTTCAGGCTCCATCATCTCCACCGAGCGGTGACCGTGCAGAACCTCTTGTGTTTCTCTGCGTGGCTCTTCATCCTTAGATGTCCACAGAGTTAAAAACTGTGCTACGGGCTGCTGCAGCTCCGACCTTGTAAGAATGCAAGAAGCTAATAGGATGTGTGCGCACTGTTGATTTGTGTCCCCCCGTCTGGATCTTTGCATTAGTATGTCAGTCGTGTTGAACACAGGCCATATGTGCCTTGTTCTGCTCTGTGTGTGTGTGTGAGAATGTGTGTATGACGAGTTCCCTGGGGAGTGTGATATTACCCAGCGTGGTGTGCTCCTGGGAGTGCTTCTATTACTGCCAGCAACGCCTCTCCTGGAGAGCATGATATTACACACACATACACTCGCTCCCACAGAGGTGACCCCCACTGGGCCAAATTTCCCCTTGCACCTCCAGCTCGCCAGCGTTTGTATATATACCTCTATGTATGTGTGTGAGTGTGTGTGTCTACTGTCTGCCAGCCGATTGAATCAATGCTCTCTCCAGAATCTCTGTCTGCTGGGGCTCCCGCCGCTGCCAACCAGCCAGCGAGCCAATCAAAATGCTTAATCTGTAGCCTATCTGTCGATAGGCCAATCACAGGGCGCATCTCACAGGAAGGGCCCGCCACCTGGGTTAGAACAGTCGCCTTGGCAACAAGCATCATAATCTTGGAAGCTGGAGAAGGTGAAAAGGACTTTTTTTTGTTGTTTTTTAACAAATCTGCAAAGAAAGGGGGTTACATTTTGTGAATTTTCAGATCTGATATATGAAAATATTCCAATCTAGAAATTTCATGCGTTTCCTCTCTCCTACATTTTTTAAACACTTGAGTGCACGGCTGAAACAAGGGTGCGTCACCCGCTGTTTCCAAATTGTGCTGTCCTATCAGTTCATCCACAGGTGGAGGGTACAGAGGGGTCTGCATCCCCTTTCTGGTACTTTACTCATGACCTCCTGAATGCATCATTGTGAAAACATGAAATAATACTCTAAAATTCACTGAAAGCTAAATTTAGATGTCAAATTTGAATGTTGTTTGTTATTAATTCCCACTCGTGTACCACAGTGGTTTGGTGTACGGCCTGCATTCTCTAACGCTGCAAAAATAACCTTAAAACAGGATGTGTGACACGCTGTCCTTTGAGTCTTCCTCTCATTAGAATAAACCATATTTACAGTTGTCACCCTCCTGCATTTCTTTCAGCTCCATTAACTTGTACTGAAAATTTGTGCTTCAGCAAAACTGCCAAATTATTAGAGGGCGGCCACATTTCCTAATCCAGATGTATGGAGGCAGGAGGCGTGTGCACAAGCTGAACCATTAGGACTGAATTTACAACCAGCGTTCAAGTAGTTTGGTGTTTATTTTCAACAGAGTTTTACACAAACTGCAACCTGCCTGGGACGCATCAGGATGTGAGTAAAAGACAAAAAGGGGAAGAAGGGGGAGACAAAGGCAGGGAGACAGAGTGCGAGAGGGATGACTGTGTGTTGCTAACATCTGTTTCCTGTGTTATATAAGCTGTGGGGGCTGGTCTCACTTCGAAATGGGAGATATTTAAAAAAAAAGTAGCATACACTCCTCACTACATGACGAAACATCACACGTCCTGACATAACCTACACTACACTTTAGTGTTCCCCTCATTTTAGATTAAATCTATGAGCTTTGTTCACATGAACGCTGAGCCTTCAGATCTCATCACTTTCAACAGGTTGTATTGTGACTGCTTACGCTGATTCTTCCACATCCACGGCGACACGTTCATTATACATTCACTTTGGCACCGTTTCACTGCTGTCCGTGCTGCTGTGCTTGAGAATGCTTAGGAAACAAAGTCAGCAATGCCGGTAATTTGCTGTCTGCAGTAAATTTGTTTTGATCTGGAAAATGGTCAAGTAATGGCAGCAGGGGCGTGTGCCACATTCCCCCCGATAGTGAAAATGCATTCCCAGAGTGTTCAAACTAAAATGGGGTCAGCAGTGTTTTTCCAAAGACACTACACTTTACAATAAACAAACGATATCTGTGAGCTCATGATGTAATTCAGGATGTTATACTTCTCTGAAGGTGATGCTGCTGCTAATCAGACACAGCTTTGCATGATCCACAGTTCAAAACATCTTTTTTGGACTCATGAATAAAGATCTGCTGCCTCAATCAAGCTGTTTTAGCTGCCTTTGAGCCCTTCCTTGTGATTGGTTGCCGCTTACAAACCAAAGGTTTGAACAGGAGGTGAGTTATCTGCTCTCAGTGACATCATCCAGAGTCACGAGCACAAAAACACTGTGTGTGATGTACGCTGACCTCATGTTTGGAATCTTCTCATCAAGTACAGCAGCGCTTCCATTTTCCTAAAATGTCAATAAAGCTCATCTTATCTTATCTAAACAGCAGAAGGCAAAGAAAGGTATATAATAGGCCACTTTTAAAGTTTTCCCATAGAAACAACAGAAACGATACATTCATCCAACTAACACGTAACGTCTGAGTATATTTAAAGCGATCTCATGTTCCTCAGTGCCACAGCTGTACGTTAATCTCGCATTAACGTACAGCATCGGCTCATTTTCCAGTCAATCCCAGAGACATCATCATAGCTGTAAGAACCCACTGGCACTAAACTTCCGTCTTCATGCTCAGCTGAAAATAGTACCCAGCGACGTCCTCCCGTCTGACTAATGTTTGCTAAAACTAAAGTCTACAGCTGTTTACAGAACTTACCTAACAGTTTTAAAGGTTAAGCTCGTCATTAGAATGAAATGGGCTCTGGCGCTCAGTGTCACGGGTCTGAGGAGTCAGAAAGCAGCCAGGAGTTTTAGATTTGTGTCCAAACTGCAAACAAAACGTGTCCTGTGACTATTCCTCAGCACAGCTGTATATCCTCAACTATAATTACAGCTTTAAACAGTTTTATCATCATTAATAATGGCATCCATACACCACGGAGACCCATTTCAGCAGTTTGCAGTGGCTATTATGAGAAGAGACAGTAAATTTTGTTTCCAACTCAAACAGCGAAATGAGATTAAAAAAAGATGCATGACGCAGAGAGCACAGAGCTGCCACTCTGCGTGGAAGCATCAGTGTAAGAGGCTTTCTCGTCCACCGTGCAACATGACTTAACCTACACCACCAATCCAAAGTATCAGGCCTGCGCACAATTTCATGACGGACATCCTCAGATGCGGTAAATGCTTTAACCCCGGCTTTTTTAAACCCTGATTAACCCGCTGCGACACAAGGATCCATCTTTACTTACACAGAGATAATCAGGAGGATTAATAATATACCAGAGGACTAGTGCAGCATGGACCAGATACATGTCTGAACACTAATTCAGACACTGAGTAAAGCTGGAGATATGATGTCTGCAGCTCACGAGCACAAAGTTTAATGCAGAGTAAAGAGAGCTGAGGGGGGGGAAAGGAGTGGAAAAATACAAGAAGGCGAATATTCTTTTGAAAAAGGGTCCTCGAGACGGACAATTTCAGCACTCGTCAAAAGCCATTTGGCAACAAAAGGACAAAGCGGCACAGTTGGGAATGAACATTACACGTTGGCCGGACAACAGGTAATTTTTTTTGTCAGGACGTAGAAAAACCGAGCGGTGTAATGCGCCGAAATGTCGTCTACAGGTGTTACGAATTCCCTTTTCCTCCACGGCCGACAAAGCTGTTCCCCACGTGCTTTCGATTGA